GTGTTCTGCAAAGCGGTCCCCGAGTCTCCGCTTGGTTTCCCCGATGTAGAGGAAGCCACACCGGGTACAGCGGATGCAGTATACCACATTGGCAGATGTGCAGGTGAACATCTGCTTGATGTGGAAAGTCTTCTTGGGGCCTGGGATGGGGGTGAGGGAGGAGGTATGGGGGCAGGTGTAGCACTTCCTGCGGTTGCAGGGAAAAGTGCCGGGTGTGGTGGAGCTGGGGCAGAAAGGTTGGTAACCAGAGAACACACACGAGAAGAACCAGAGGCAGTATGGGACTGTAAACTAGTGTGTAAGGGCAGTGGAAGCAGACTCAATAGCTGATGTAACTTTCAGGAGATAATTGCATCAGTATTTAAAGTGAAAAGTTACATTTCAAAGCTATGTTGAAAGGGCAGGGGAGTAGGATTAAATGGATGCTTGACCAAAGAGACGACAAAGGCACAGTGGGGACAATGGCTCCCTCCTGTGCTGTATGGCTCAATGATTACGAGTTCTAACATTAACTTGTTTGTATATTTAAAAGGAGAAAAAAGGAAGGAAATATTGGATCATAAAAGAAATGGACAACAAAAAAAAAACAAAGTGGTAGGAATTAGCAATTTTGTTGCAGGTCAGCATGACTTTTAAGTACTCATTAAAGACAGTACTCTGGCAGCAGCAAGCAACTTTTGTGAAGTAGTTGTGTATCATCAAGTCCAAATGATTGCATCTACAAGTAACATATAAATCACATGATGTGGTTTGTGAAGTAGTTGCAACCATACCATTAGCTGGCCTTTTTCTGCCTTGAAAATGCAGTACTCTTGAGTGCTGAAACAGAGCCTCTCCTGCTCCACCTCCCCCCGATCTCATCATGGAAAGTGAATAATTGAGTCTGCAAAATTTGGTCTGGTGTGTACTGTGCAGCATGGGTATGGAAACAAGTACAAGACTAACAAAGGAAACATTATGCATTTGCAGGGACTCCACACAGCTATGTCCTGTGAAAACTCTGGCATATAATTGTGACACTGGATAATTATAGCACGGGTAAAACAGCTTTCACTATGTTAGTCTGGAAAATCAGGCTATAGAAGGGAGAGAAAAATGCCTAGGTCAATTTTTTAAAAATCTAAATTGGTAATTCAAGTTACCAACTTATTGATGTCATTAAACGTAATTTCCCATTTCAAACTAAATCTTCACCCAGTTAAGTAAAATATCAACAGAAAATCAGATACTTATCGCGCATCACCAACTAAAGACCTTAATGAATTGCATTACACTTTGAGATACAATCATTCACTAAAAGTAATTGACTTGCTCACCACAACAGGAATATCTTTTTGGCAAGAGTTCACTTTAAAATGGAGGCCAGTCTGGCCCAACACCAACTTAGACGGGCCTTGAAGGATACAATTACGAGGCTGTTCATAATGGCACAAATGGAATTCCTGCCATTTTGAAACCAGGTACTTGCTACACAACTTGGGATGTGTTTAGTATCTCTGCAGGAAGCCCTTCCTGATGCACTTGCTCTCTTGGCACAAAATTATACTATTTGTCCTCTGTATCTCTATGGTCACACATCAATACACTATTTCATTTCCATCTTAGTCATACAGTCATGCAGCACAGAAGAGGCCCTTTGGCCCATCAAATCTGTGTTGAACTATCTACATTAATCCCACCTTCCTAAGTATTTGCTCAAAGTATTTGGAGATAACGCCATGGAAGGGTTCTTCCATTGCTTTGACACTTCAGGAGCTTATCCATTTAGCTTTTAAATGGCCATGACATCTTATTCCATTTTTGTCATCAACCAATGTGCTTGGATTTTACTCAGTTGTGTAATTTTTGGGACTTTAAGCTGATAGCTACCACATCAACAATTTGCACTTCAACAGTGCTTTTAACTATTAAAAAAATTCCTAAGAAACTTCACAGGGTAGTATCAAAGAGCTAACAGGGAATTAGGGACAGCAAGGACTGCAGATGCTAGAAGCTAGAGTCAATAAATGTGGAGCTGGAATAGCACAGCTGTCAGACAGCACCCACGGAGCAGGGAAGTCAACGTTTCAGGCCGAAACCCTTCGACAGACTGATCTGCTTTTCCAGATCCACATTTATTGACATGGAGTTATACGTTAGGATTGGTGACCAAAAGCTTAGCCAAAGAAATAAGTTTTAAACAGTGTCTTCAAAGAAGAGATGTAGAGTGAAGGACAGGTTTAAATAGACAACTCCAGACTGTAGGGCTAAGCAGATGAAAGCTCCACAGGTCCAGGTCCAGAGGTACACATCCAGATGCCAATGTGGGTTACAAGCACAAAGGCAATGGGTGAATGGGATCTGGTGCAAGTTAGAGTACAGGAAAGTGTGTTTTGGATATATACTAAAAGAAATACCATCATAGCCCATCAAACAGGATACTGAAAAGTAGTGTGTAATACTAAAGTACACACAATAACAACTTCTATTTTAGATTTTAAAAACTTTAATAGTGTCTAGGCCTGAATTTAAATGTAATATCCTATTTGCTGGTAGCAATCAGAACATCGAAAATAAAAGAGAAGACCTTTGTGAAATGTTCAGATTATTAAAATTAAAAAAGAGAATTAAAATGTCTCAGCTTTGCATGTTAAATATATGATTTATTTCTCACAAAGGGGAGCATCCCACCTTAAACTGGCCCAGCCGTAAATAATTCACTCCTCCCCAGTAGTTAATCAGAACAATTTAAGGAGTCTTGGCTTCTCAAGTTGCTTTTCTATGCATCCTCAGTTCAAGGAAAACCCACATTACGCATTTCTGCCAGATCTGATTTTACTAGCCGTTTTTTTCAAAATAAAGTGAGTATATATGATGAGTAATGGAATTCCAGGTTTCTGAACTCGCTTAACTGCCTCACATCATGTTTGATCTGCACAATTTAATTTTGGTCACTCTTTAAAAAAAATAGTTTCAAAGGTTTCTC